ATTTGAAATCTTTTATATGAATCTAGCAGTTTAGGAAATCGAATATATTGTTCGATTATATTCTGCAAGATTTAGAATACGTATTCAGTTTTTTTTAGAATTCAGTAAATTGTTGATTTCTCTTCTGTATACTCTAGCATTTTTCTGATGAGTTTTTTTTTCTCTTCATGTGTTTAGAACTTGAACATGATCAAATGTATGTAACTAATGCATAGTGTACATATACTAAGTATAAGTGATTAAAGATTTGCAGTATAAAATTAGACTTGTAAGTAAACGTAGAGTAAACGCAATTAGCTATCTCTTAAAATGATTAATAATTCAGAAGGGCCTTCATAAATAATTAGGATATGTTTTAAAAAAATCATTAGTGAAACTTCAAAAAATATGACTAAATTATTAAGATTTTTATTATTGTTTCGAATTAAAAGCATGAGTAGTTGCATTCAAACTCTATAATTCATTAACAACAACATGTTGTTAAACAAACAGAAAACCAATTTATGTTGGTTTCTTGATGGTTCGGGAATAAATCAAAATTGTAAACTAATTTGTGTTAGTTTCTTAACGATTCATTACCGAACTAGAGTTCATCATTTACGAGGCTGCTGCTTGGTTCTTTTTGTCTTAAAAAATATTCTCATTGATTAAATAAAAATAATTAAAACAAAAGAGATAGGAAAGCCTCGAATTTGAGACATCAATCAAGAATTTCTAACTCATCAACCAACTGAGCCAATAAATATTGTTGTAAATTACTCCATAAAATATGATTAAATCTAATATTTATGATTAAGGGCATAATAAGATTTTAACTACATTAAAGTATATATCACAAATTTAAATAATAAATGTATAGATAGACAAACTCCCAAAAAACATCCTTTATTTCTAATTTTTTCTTTATATTATTCACCGATCAAAACGACATAATTTTAAACATCATGATTCCTGTACAGATCCACTGACCTAATAAACCTACCCTGTTTTCAGCTGTGTTTTAAGTTTTAACAGTGCTAAACTTAATCCCGCATAATTAAAGTACCTCAACTTAGGGGTTGATTCGTTCATCCGCTACTACCCGTAAATGCCGCGTTTGCGGGCGATAGCGGTTGTGGCGTTTGATAGGGGTGGAACGATTTCGGATATCCTGGAATTTCAGGGTATCCGGATCCGTGGAAAAACTATCCGGATCCGTGACCTCCGGATATCCGGGCTCTAGATATCCGACAAAAAATAGGATATCCACGGATATCTGGATCCGGATCTGAAATTAATATTAAAAATAACTAAAATAATAAATAAATAATTTAAAATAAATTAAAAAAATTATGAAAAATTTCAAAAAATACCACTTTTCAAGTGCCACTTTACAAAAATGCCACATTTTTGAAATTTTTACAAAAATGCCACTTTTTCAAAATTATTTTTTCTTTATATTATTTATATTTGGGTTAATTATGTTCTATTAGGGTTTAGTTTTGAGTGTTTAGGGGTTTTAGGTGTCAAAATATTTTTTAGGGTTTAGAATCTAAGATATAGGCTTTATAAATCTATAATTAGTGACATTTTTGTAAATGGATACCCCTAAGTGGCATTCTTGCAAATGTGCACACAAAAAGTGGCATTNTTGTAATTGTCCCAAAAATTATTAGTTAATAATTTAAATGGCATTTTTCATTATAAATATAATTTATTATAAAAGAACTAAAATCAATTTTTATATATATATTTATTTATATAAAATTAGTTTAATAGATATATAATATATATGTTTTAATATATTTAATGCGTCCGGATCCGGATATCCGGACCTTAAAATTTTGCTATCTGGATCTGGATCCTCTTTTTACGGATCCTAGAATTTACTATCCTTATCCAGATCTGGGCTCTGCGGATATTCTAATTTTCGGAGCGATTCGGAACGGGTAACGGATCGGATCTCGGATCCCGATAATAATTCTGCCCCTAGCGTTTGACAACAATTATGGAAAACGCGTTATACCGCTCCGTGTCACTCCAAACCTCTCAAATCCAAAAGTTGCTTTCCTCGAGCGTTTGTGGTTACGGGCGGTTGAGGCTCGATAATATAATAAATTAAAAATTGATATTTTAGTAAATATAATTATGAAATATATCAATAATATGAAACTTTGAATTAAAACTTAATAACCTATCATAATTTTATATTTATAAAATCTTTAAATCGTAATTTTGTTGATAAATTATTTTTGATCACTGATTATTAAATCTAACAAGCAAAAATATTCAAAATCACATTGATCTCTCTAGTAAAAAAAAAGTTATTGATTAAAATCACAATTTTCATCTTTTTCTGGTCATAATCATAACTTTCGTCTAAACTAAAATTTTTTAAAAAGAACATAAGAAGTATATTCATAGTT